AGGAAAAGCTATTGAATTAATTAATAATTAAAATAAATTTCTTAAAATTTCTTCACTTATTTAATTGCCAAGAAGGTATTCCAATAAAAAACTCAAAACCCAAAATTAGTTAGAATCTTAGAACTTTTATTTTCTTAATTTATTATTAGAGTTTGACATTTGTAAAATGCCGGATCCGGTTTCCCATTTTTTCTATACGGACCGGATTTTCCGAATCGAAATATGGAAAATCCGGATTTTTCGACCCGGATCCGGCCTACAGTATCAAAAAATCCGGGTCCGGTCCGGGTTCGAAGCGGTTTTTTAAGAAACCGCTTCTACGTTAGATTTTTCTTCTTAAAGTTTTAATTCAAGATAAAAATTATTTATTTTAAAATTCAAAAATGTATTTGAACGGCAATATTATTTTTATTGCTTCCATACTTTTGGTGATTTTTTGTGAATTCGACGTCGAGTCTAGTGGAGGAGGTGGTAGACGTAGAGTTCAGGTGATTTTAGTGGCGCTAACATTGTATCAGAATTTTGCAGACCCAGAATATAAACAGACACTAGACTAAAACTCACGAGAAATGTCAAAAATGAAAAATATTATTAAAATTTTATGGATATATTTTTGATAAAAAATTCAAACTCAGATTAAAAATATGAAAATAATTTTATTTTCACATTAATTCGTTCCATGTAAAATTATAGGTAGGAACCACTGAAGCATTGCAACGAGAAATACATGCTTTAAGGGACGGATATATTCAGGCTCTACAAGAAAATGATATTGTTTTGTTGCAAACTAAGGTTAGAATTTATTATTAATAAAATGAATCAGGAAAATTTTTTGGAAGCCATTCAGATATCATGATCCCGAAATTTATTTTTGGATTTGCCGACTTATTGAGAGTTATATTTTTGAATAAAAATTTAATTCACCCTATTTTGTTGTTAATATTAAAAAATATCTGACAAATTTTTAGTTAGATCGGACAAAACAACTTCAAGATGAATATGTACCGATTCCAGGAATAAACCCATTTACAGTAAATTTATTAATAAATAATTAAAAATTTCTCTAAAATATCAGAAAAATTGGATACGTTAAAATCTCTGAATGATAACTCCATTTTAATACCCGTCTAATACAATGATTGAACAATCGAACGGCATGCCATTTTAATAGAGTTTTTATTGCAATTAAAAGTTCCAATCGTTTTGCGTTGATTTTGTCTTTGCGCTGCGTTTGTCGTTGTTTTTCGGTATTTTCATAATTCTCAAAATTTTCGCCTGCGGCGCCAAAATGTGTGGAAACTAGCTCCTTGGCCTTCAAAAATTCTGGAAATTTTTGCTTCAGCTTATATACAAGTTTATCCCCGATGATCCTCCAATCATTATCCATCTAAACACTTATATCACAAAACAAATAAGACTCCCTGAAATAATTGGAAAATGTCTAAGCTTTGGTTAAAAAATTTTTTCCCATTTTGCGGAACGAAGAAATATAATCGAACTATTATAAGTCTGCATCCAAATAATTGGAATTTTTCTATTTAAATTTGATCTTAATGGAAGTCAATTCTACCTAATTTTGGCTTCATCTCTCTTAGTAAATTACTCCAATTTCCCGATCCAATTCAAAGTTTGGAACTTACATTTTTATTACATACATTTTATTAAATAACTTATCTTGAAAAATATTTATTACCTTAACTATAAAAAATCTTTTAAAGTTGCACGAGCTTCAACAATTTATTAATGACATTGAAAGATATATTACGTTTCGACAGGTGAGATATCTGTAGTGTTGGACATGTTACGGTATTACCGCGGTAATTTTCGATAATACCCATGGGTATTACCAGTATTACAGTTTCGTACCAATTCACTTTTGAAATTTTTTAAATCTTGGTTTGATTCATTATATAGAAAATTTGATACTGTGAAATAAATATAGAGGAAAGTTAAAAGATTTTTAGAGGCAGAATGAGAGAATTTTATAGAGAAAAGTTCTCTAAAAATTTTGGGCTAAAAAGATTTACCAAAACCCAAATATACAAAAATGGTACACATATACAGCATGTCCCCATGGAAAATAAAAATTAAAAGTAAATTTCTAGACACAGCGTCTTTCGCAAGCCGTAATTGATTTACTTCAAGCGATTGATTTGCCACGTCAAACACGTCGAACTCGTCAGAATCTGGTAATAAATTGATTTTTAATATGAACGTCTAGAATCATTGCATATCGGGATTCCCAAAAAACTGTTGAGTATATTGATAAGATAACAGTATATTAATAAGATAATTGGGTATATTGATAAGATTCAGCATTTTCTCTACAATATATAATATGTACATACAAAAAGCACATTTAAACAAATAAATTTGTTAACAAATTTATAGCGTCAAAGGGCTCAAGGGCTTCGTCAAGAATATTTAACAATAAATCATAATGTTCAAACAAATCCAGTATTGAATGCTGATGGTCAGATACAACAAAATGTAAATTTATTAATAATTATAAATTCGTTTATGTATCTCTAAGAATAAAATTAAATGAGTTTGTTAAAGGATTACTATAGATAACCTATATTCATTTAATTTATATTTTAACTAAATCAAATTTATAAATAGCTTGATGCAACTCAAAATTCTATTGAAACTGCTCTACACAATCTTCAATAGGTTATATTTGAAAAAATTTTAGATTATGGGTTAACTTACTGATTAATAAAAACCTATCAAACTCTATTAATTATTCATAATTTCAGAAAAAACAATGATATAATGATAAAGGTTACAGGATATACCAGGGGTGTAGCGGGTCATCGATTGCGGGTGTCAGTTTGAGATTTTGCTCGTTTTCTTATAGTTGAAACCCGTGACATCCATAATATATAGCTAAAGGCCCGTGGAACATGTTTTAAAAAATATATGAACGGATTTGAGGTTCACTAAACATAACTAAATATCCCGGAAACAAGGTTTTAAGTTAAAACCTTGTTTTTTAACCTAAAATCTAATGCTATTAATTATATTTAACTACTAATTAATAAAATTTATTTCTAAGATTTCATCAGCAACAGAAATTTATGATTGAACGAAGAAAAGAATTGAAGATTGACAAATCAAAAGTTATTTGGATTGTTTTTTATTCGGGTTTTACTATTTTCACTAATTCTTTAGTGACTCCCCTCCTGTTGGATGAATTTTCATTTAATCTGTAACGCCCTCCTGTTAGGTTCTTCATAAAAATTTTACTCAAGTATTCGACATTTGCTACGATTCGACATTTGCCCTTAATAGTATAGGCCAAATAGGATCAAATGATAAGCAAAACATTGCCGTAGTACATAAAAATTCTCCTGTTGAATGTATTTTTAAAATTTTTTAAGCTTAGGTTTACAGCTTTGGATTATGCAAGTGTCTTACCCAGTTCAAATTAACTATTTTTCAAATTTAAAATTCAATCTGTTTTTTGATAAAGTACCTCTTTCAATTTTATTATATTTCATTAACATTAGGCATTGTCATCGTGTTTTACAAAGGTCAGACAGGGCCGGATCGGGACTCCAACCCTATTGATCATTAAAAACTGAATATTATTCGAATGAAAATAATTTTAAAAGTATGAATCATTCATATTTATAATTAAGATTAGATAATTTATTTCTAACAAATTGAAAAAAATTATCAAAAAAATTATTTAAGTATATTTATAATTTAATTCTCGATTATTCCTCTCTATTCAGGACTTCTACATTCTTTTTTACATATAACTGCTCCACAGTTAGCACCACAATTTAAATCTTTCCAATGTCCATTTCCATTAATAGCCGTACATTCACGGCATTGATGGGATTCTTTTTCTTTATCGTCTGAGGATATGTCGTCTGATAAGGGTAAGGTTCCAGGCTGTTAAAATTTATGAATATAAAACATGAAATTTGTTTCTAACCTCCACATGCTTTCCAAAATCTACCCTACTTCCATCATCCCAAAATCTTTCTTTTGAACCTCCATGGGCTGAATGAAGTCCAATCCAGGAACAAGCAGAAATGTTTCCACCTGCCTGACCTATGGCCAATGCAGAAGTGATTTTGTTTTCATCGTTTGAATGAATAGAAGCAACTTGGGCATCGTGTTTATGGCAAATGGAAAGAGCCTAGAAAATTTCTTAATTAATAGGATATGTCAGGAAGAAGAGAGATCCAGCTGACTAGCATTTAAAACGATTACTAGGTGGGGGCTTAAGATCTATAATGTAAGGAGCGCCGCAATATGAAAGTAATTAAAGCCAAGGGGCTTTAATTTAAATTGCCAAGGGGTCTTAGGATCGATGCTAGCCATGGCCTCAACACCGCTTTATCTTACTATACATACATATAAATTCAAAATCCATTCAGGTATATATTTTTACCTGCCAATAATTTCCAGGACTGTGCAGAGGAAAAGCATGGAATGCTTTTCCATCCACATATGGCCAGCCATCCTTTCCACAAACTAAAAATAAATTTCAAATTTAAAATGTTATTTAGATACCATCATGTTTATGTTCTCCGTCACAAGGCTTTTTACATATAAAACCTCCAATTTTTTGATTACAAGCGAGATCATTCCATTTAGCTATACCGGATGATGTTGCTAAATATATACCTGTACAGTCCTCTGATTGGCCATCTTAAAAATAGACAAAATACGCAAAATCCTTAATTAAATGCCCTGACATTCTATTATTCAATTATCTTCAGAGGCATTTAAAGACATTTATCTGGGGGGGGGGGCATTTTTGGAGATTTAATAGTAAATTTAAAATATTTTTTAAGTAAATTTTTACGTCCGTGTGAACTATTAGTTCCAGAAGGGTCACAATTGCCCCATGGCTCTATTTTCATACTGCAATCGACTTCCCCTTCATAGCAACCATAATCACATTCGGAGCCATCAGACCACACTTGTACTACCGCGGGATTATAACTAAAAATATTGTGTTATTCTTATTCTTTTTAAAATTACAATGGATAAAATTGGCTTCGATGAAGACCAAACCAAAATCCTCTAAGAATCTGGTCAAGAAGTTCATGTGCCTTATCTATATGAGGAACCCTTTCAGCACAAATTAAAGGATTATTTTGACATTCTGCCAATAGAGGAGCTGCCAACTTTGCAACAAATGAATTTTCTTCAGCACTGTGAATGCTTACAATTTCAGCACCCATTGAACGGCATCTAAGTTCAGCCTTTAAAATTTTTAAATAAATTTTCATTAAAAATTTATGCGCGGTTATAAGTTTCAATGACTGGTGGAATTTAGAAAGTTGCTTTAGCGTACTACATGTATAAAGCAGAAGATCGGATATGGAAGATTGGAAGATTCTAAGCAGACAATTGGATATGGCTTTAGGATTTGCGGATTCTGAGAAATTTCGACATCCGGATCTGATATCAGAAACGAAGAGTTCCGAAGATCTTGTTTTTTTCAGATCCGCCGTCCTCACATGTTTTAATTGTATTATGCCTTACCAAATACTAATAAGTATATAAATCCCTAATGATTCCCTTCCAGATCTAAGTGTTTAAAATTGAAATAATCATCCCAAAAAATTTTTACAAACTTGAAAATAATTGATCATATCTTCAACAAAAACTTTGTAACCATACAAATGCCCATCTTTTGGATTTCTAAAGGTTGTCCAGTCATCTGTACATTGATTATTTTCATTATGTTTATTTTTATGATAAATTTCTTTTTTAAATAATGCTTCCATCATCTGTTTATTTTCAGCTAATGACATTAATGAAAACTGATTTTCATTTTCTAATAATTTAGGTGATGGATTGGATAAAATATTTTTAATGTGTGCGAATATTATTAACAAAATTGTTAATTTGTTGAAAGAAGTGGAATGGGAATTATTATACATTTTAAAATGGCTGAAAAAATTTTTTAAATAAAATAATAGAAAACTTAAAGAAAGGTTCAATATAAAATAGCTAATCATCCTCAGAAAATTTTTTTCGATCTCAAAAAATAGTAAAAGATTGTATGGATTTTATCCAGATATATATCCAAGATCAATCATCCAAAGTTGATTAAATTGTTGGGCTAAGATTTTAAAACCCCGGAGCCAGGTTTTGAAATGCCGGAGGCGGAGCTATCCAGTCCAGCATTTGTTATACCCAGAACTAGTGATTTAATACTTAGTTTAAAGCGAGACATTTTAAAATTTTGGAATATTATTCTAGATAAATAATTTTACGAAAAATTTTAGGATGATATCTTTCTGATAATAATTTTTATTTTTGAAATCGAGCTGTTTTAAATAAACTCACTAAATAATTATTTTTATTTTTGAATAAAACCTTCCCATGTTGTTTCTTTATATATTGCCAAATATTAAAACAAAAAAATTAGTCCAAATGGATTTGAAGGAAAAATTTATTTATAAAAAAAATTAGATTAAGGATTAAAAAAAATAAATGTTTGTCGGGCTATCAAAGTTAAAAAAAAGTTGAAACATTTGTTTTAAATTTTTATAAAAATAGCGCTAAACAGATGATATTATTTTTAATGTTCCACCTATATGTAAATTTATTATTAATTTATTTTGACAATTATATTTAGGTTATTTTTTTGAATATTAATTTTTGTGTCTGGTTATTGGGCAATAATATAAAAAAATTTAAATAACCAGATCACCAATGACCACTAGATTTTATTATTGATGTAGGGTAAATGTGTTAATGTTGCGAATTATTATTTTGTAATTTATTCGTCCATTATAAAAAATATCATTTTATTTGTAATTATTTAAAATATAATTTTAAAGTTTAATATAATTATTTTGAAAATTAATTTTAAAATTAATTTGCTTATTATGTATGAAAGATCCTCGTGCAAATTCAATATCAATAGCTCGCGGAGTTATAGTGGATGCTCGGATAATTATCCTCAATCAAATAATTCCTATTCTCGAATAAATTATACCCTCTAGCGTGAGGTTGAAGCGAAAATTAGCCAGAGTAATTATTTGAGCAAATGCCGAAATTTTAACTGTTCTATTGCCAAAATTTGCGATTGAAAATAATATGGAAAAAATTTTAGTACATACAAAATGATCATTAGTCAACTCCGCCCTAGCCCCTATACCATAACTGGATATTACTAGTAAATTAGTACATTCGATTTTTATTCAAAAATATTCATTATAAAATAAAAGTAATTAAAATTAAAGATAAAATAATTTTAATATAAATTGAAAATCCTCTGCTAGTTAAATTTCTTTTGCTGCCATTTTTCCAAGGACAAATCCTTTTCTTTTTCGGAAAGGATTGTGTTGTTTCAATCTTTTTAGTTGATGATATTTCATCTATTTTTTTATAATTTTTAGATAATTATACCCCAAAATAAGCCCTTATTGAAATATAGTCCGATTTTAGCGTTAGTAAAAAATCTAGTTTATTTATTGATGTAACTCGAGTAAATTGTATGACCTTATCTTAGGTTATATTTATCTGATAGTCGATATTAGAGATCGGCCTGGGTCTGGACCAAGGCCTGGGTTTTTCTTGTACCCAGAGTCCAGGCCCAGGCATTTTTTGACCTTCCTGGGTTTTTCCTGGGCCTGGATTTTTACTGTACTACAGGCCCAGGATCCGGCCCAGGTGAATAAATCAAACCCGGAACCCAGGAACAGGCCCAGGCTTTCCAAAATTTCCGATCTCTAGTCGATATGATATTTCGTTCATTTTCCCTACTATTTCAGTTTACTTCATCACCCATTTTTTCTTTAAATATGTAGTGTTATAAAAATTTTACATGTCTTATATGCCCAAATTATATAAAATATATGCCCTTTCTGTTCTTGAAAAATTAATCCTATAATTTTTTTTTGCCTGTAAATAGGCAACTCTAATAAGATCATAATAAAAAGTAATTTGCTCTCTGACAACATTTTGTTTAATTCTTATAATTATTTAAGCCGCTTAAGTCAGGTGGGGCTCAAAACTTAATTGACAGCCTAATTATTTAGGATTCTGGCAGTGGTTTAATATTTTTACTTACCAATTTTCGCTGAATCCGATTTTGAACTTAAAAATTCTTCAATAGGCCTATTTGTAGAAATTTCATTCGTTGTCTTTTCAGTTTTTCTTATTGTACTAGTTGTTGGGTTAGTTTCGACATAAGGATTGTTTACTTCGATTCTTTCAGGATCTTCACTTGAATCCTCCCCAATTTTATACGAAAATTTATTGACAGATGTTCTAGTTATTTTACTTAAATTTACAAGTGGACTATCGTTACAATATTCTGTCCCACAAATTAGACAATGGTGACAATTATCTACTTCGTTCAGAACTTCACAAAAATTAAATTCGTTAATTACTTTTGGAACATTTAAATTTTTATCTGTCTCATTAAAAAAGAATTTAACATCATCCTCGTGTAAACATTTGTGTACATCTAAAAATAAATTAGCATCAGTGTATCAGCAGATTTTTCAGTTAAAATAACGGAACCTACATCTCCGATAATTCATTTGTTTGAAAATATCAACTCTAACATAAGACATAATATTATTTACCTATTTGAACTTTGAATAGGACCATACAAAACTAGCAATATATTAGATGGAGCTTTGTTTATGAGATTAATCGCTCGATTCTGAGAATTAACCAAAAAACCCTTATTTTTGTATGGAACCCATGCAGGCCTCATTATTTATACACATATAGAGAAATAAGAAAGTGAGAAAAACTGGCTAGAATTTAAAGCTCTTAAGCGGGATTTAAGATTTGCACCAGATTGTTCTTAATCTAGTTAAAGGTAAAGCTAGTAGCGCAGTAGGTAGTAGCTATTAGTAGCTCAGTAGGTAGTAGTAGCTCAGTACTACTACCTCAGTAGCTCAGTAGTTTACTAATTTATTAAACATGTAAACTTAGTTACATTGTTCTTCATTATTACAGCGAAATAAAGCCAAACAATTCCCTAAATCATTACTTCCTCTTTTCGCACAGTCAACTCGATAAGCCTGTGTTTTGTTGTCGTAACCAAGTGTATCATTTAAATTATCTCCCTCGTTGAAATCGTTGAAAAAGCATCGAATTGCTATTAAATTAATTTATTAATTTTCTTAATTATTTTTTATTAGACTATTGCTTAGGTTTTGTCTTCCTAGAATGTTTTTGACATTAATTCTTTGTTTGTAGTTCTACATGTTCAGGGTGACCGATTCCAAACCACAAAAATAGGGCGCAGCCACTCAAAAATGTGGCAAAAATAGTGCGAAATAGGTCAAAAATAGGGCATGATTTTAAAAACATAAAAATCAAAATCTCAAATATTAACAAGTATTATGGATATCTTCACTAGTTATAACTAAATTGATCAATTAGAGATCAGATAATATTCTAAACCTAATTCCTATCACTTTTGACATGTTTCAGTGATTTTTTAACTAAAGATTTATATGATATACGTTGATAAATGGGATATAAGCGTCTATAATTAGGTTGGGCATCAAATTAAGAATAGAATTTTTTTTATTTTTTAAAATCTTGGACGTTTGATATTATTAACCTTCGATTTTGATAATATTTGGCAAACTCAAAATTAAAATAAATAATACAAATATTAATTCGGATTAAATTTAAATGAGAATATGAATTATCTTAATAATTTTTAAATTATTTTATTTAAATAAATTAAAAGGGGTAAATTAATGATTTTAATTTACACTTTGATTTTACTGAAAAATAAAAATGTGTATTATTATTACTGAAATTTTATTACTGAAATATTTATTGCTGAAATGATTATAAAAAATAAATGATTCATTTTAAATTATTTTTTGATTTTTTTATTTAAATTAATGCAGATAAATATTATATGTATAATACATAGTTTACCATTTTTATTGCAAAAATTACTAAAAAAATTTTTTTAATATGCGATTGAAACTGGACATGTGACGGAAAACAGTATTCTGCTCTAGTTAATGTTGGTAGCATAATGAAAAATCTGTAGTTCATACAAAATTTATGCGTCAAATAAAGCCTTATCAGTCTCATGAAAGTTTATGTTGGTATTGTTTTATATTGGATTTAATTAATTCTTCATAAATTACTTAACTCTTCTTTTTTTACTTTAAAATATTTTTTAAATTAATTTTCAAAATAATTAAAAATTTAATTTCAGAACATACAAAATTTCTCTGTAAAATTTAAAAGCAAAAATAAAATAAAAAATACTAACAATTGCACACTAATTTAGCACAATTTTACTTAAATGTACTCCTAAATATACTCAGACATTTACAAAGATTAGTAAATTTATTTTGAAAAAAATTCTTTATTTTTCAAGAAAATTATATTCTACTACTATTATTTTTTAATAAAATCTTTCTATGTTTAAGCAAGGCTCAATTTGTGTTAAAATTCATTAACGAAATGTGAAGCATCAAGAGGCGAAAGTTTATCAAGTAATGCTTCCTGAACAATATTTAAATACATCAGTTTCCATATTTGCTTCAATTTTATTCATTCCACTTTCAATAATTGCTTTATTAATTAATTTATTATATGCTTGTGTTTTGATTTATGGGCACCGATATTTTTCTACCAAAATTGTTTATATTTGTTCAAGACATTTAGTAATAGCTGATATAGTATCTTCACTTACACAAATTTTTGTAATTGTCCCTACTGTTATTTTACCATATGAGATTGGAAGAGGTTAGTGTTGAGGAAGAGTGTTGACAAGAGTCATTAACAAGTTAATTTAAATTAAAGAATT